CTAATCGAAAAAATAATCGGTGATTAATCGATTATAAAAATAATCGTTTGTGGCAGCCCTACAACAAACTCAAACTGTCACTTTTTTTTGGTGCTTTTGGACCAATAATGAAGACAAGACTTGAGGAACTCAAAAGTAAAACATTTCTATTATAAAACAAAAACAAATGCTGCCATTGCAGCAAAACTCAAGCAAAGAAAAACAGGAAGCACAAGGTGAAACACGAGGAAGATCGAACCAAATGAAATCCTCATTACTAGACTTGTGAGTGGTAAGAAAGAGGAGTGTATGGACTGAGGCTAAAGGGAAGCRTGGCTGCAGCTGGGACTAATGAAACCATGAACAGGTGTGAGTGGGTGTGGCAGGCTAACTGTGGAAAATTACTGGGAGATTGAATTGGTAGCACGAGGACCCTAATCCTAAAACAACAACAACAACAAAAAAAAACTACAAACCAAAAACACGGATCTTGACACAAAACCTAATTTTTGTTTTTAAAAATCTCAGTTATATATCGCGTAATCATTCTATCCTAAATAAAAAGATCAACACAACAGATAAAAGCTCAAAATTAATACGACATTAACACCTATGGTGAGCAGGTGTAAATATTTGACTGAACCTGCAGCTCATAAGGAAATAATGGAGTTTCTCCTATACATTTGCTTTATTAATTTTTTAATCACTTCATTTTTATTCAAGTTTTTTATATATAAAAACAAATAAGAGCCTGCGAGTACAATCTAGACATTTGATCTATTTAGACAATATACTCAAACAAAAAACATTAATTTACAGCAAAATAATCCTGTTCACTTCTACCCAGATCACTGCCTTAGGCCTGCCACTTACTTCTGGTAAGAATGGAGCACGTTTTAATAAAAATAAAATTCACCTTTAATATTATTGTATATTTTGAAATGTGTCGATAAAAGGGGCTCCATGTTTTTTCAAATTCCCCAGTAGAGTGCTGGAGAGATCATCATATTTTTTCCAGTCTCAAGCAAGACATAGGGTTATTAATTCAAAGTTGTACAAAGAAACATCTCTGTAATTAACACCCTTACATGCGTGGACCTTATACTAATAATAAYGGTCTAATGTGTGTAAAATCTGGGAGCAGGCAGAAGTACGAGCTGAGAGCAAAGAGCAAAGTCTGACACTTCGTAAAGTGCTGGTGGGAGTCAGGCAATTAGGACGGACGTAAAGTCCACAGAGGAGGCCGGGCATGAGTCAGAACGTAGCCTTTAGCTGAGGAGAAACTGACAGGGGAGGGAGGATGGAGTGGGAAGAACCTGATTGGTGAAAGGAGCGCCCAAAACGTCTGTTTATGATGAAGACGATGACGATGAGAGATGGGTTGGGGTGGGGTGCCCTCCTAATCTCAAGGCTAAAAGAATATAAAGCAGTTTGAAGAATCAGAGAGAAGTGTGTGTGTTTAATAGAAAGAGTGCGCTTTCGGGCTTTTCAGAAGTCTTCGGTGTAAATTCTCAAGGATCAGCGCTTCAATTTTCAGCTTAAACCTCTTTTCTGAATCATTGAAGAAAAACAGGAGAGGCAAAAACAAAAAAAGCTCCCTAATGTTGCTGTATTTCAAGTAACAGAAGTGCCATTAATGTATTTTTTTTTTTACCTCCAGTCTGAGTCCTCCTCCTGATGACCAGATTGACCTGGCCGTTCCGTGCGGCGGCGTGCATCAAGTCGATGACATATCTGTGTGGCTTCCCCACCACGGGGATCCGGTCCACGAACAGCAGCTCGTCACCCGGTCGCAACCGCCCGTCTACATCTGCTGGACTCTTCTCTATGATCGCTCCGATTAGGATCTGTTTTTTTATTTTCAACAGAGATCAGTTAGAAGAAACCCCACAAAAGGTTGCTGCGCTGTCATGTTCAGTAATGTTACGGTGGTTGTTATTCTGTAAGCTTGTTAACATTAAAATGTGGTTAAGAGACCAAAGAATCAAAAACAACAGCAAGCAGCCAGAGCTGGCACTCTCCCAGGGTTAAAGGTCAGGGGTTAGGTGTTCACAGTGGTGGGTTAGAGAGTAGAAAATGACAGGGTTCCACGCCCATCGCCATACGAGCCTTCTCACGTGTCTCCAAACTCACAGGCTGCCCGGCCTCGTCCCCGCCCAGCACCCGGAACCCAAACCCAGACTTCTGTCTGCGCAGGTGGACCTCAATGTCCTGGAACTCTGCTCCTGGCGCCAAACAAAGCAGAACTCTAAAACCCCATCGTGAAAAGCTGGGACCATTACTCGGTCGGAGATTTATTTACCTGACGAGTCCACGGGAAAAACAGCCCTCGGCTGGCTGGGCTCTGCGAAAAAAAAAGACAAGGAACAAAAACAATGAGAAATCCTCAAACACACACCTACAGAGAAACGTACGTGGACGGCGCAGCGGCAAAAACAGATGCTCCCGAAGACGGCACGACGAGGCAGAAAGACCCTGCCTCAGCATTAATGTCACCGCAGAATTTCTGCATCGTCCATAACATCAGGAAGTGCTTACGACGTGTAATATACCCGTTCATTATTTACAGGCACGAGGTGGGACGCAAAGCACTGATCTGCAATCAGGGGCTTCACACTACGCCATGATCCGCAAACTACAGAGATAAACCCAACCGCAGACAAGTGGCTGCGAATGAAAAATTGATTCCAATTGTATCTGTTTTAATCACAGCGAGCGCTTCGGTTGGACTCAGCGGGAATGATGATGGGGGGAAATCATGACTGGCACAGCTGGTATTCCTGGCACGTAGAAGGCATCAGCCATGAAACGATTTCAGCTGATTTAGGACCAGGCCAAAACAAGAGCTGTGCTTTTTTTTTAATAAACTCCTATAAATATTAACAGAAAAACAAAGCATCTTCACATTTGATAGCAGACCTTTTTTTAAAATTAAAACCTTAATATAAGCATTTTTTGGCAGAATGTTGTTTCATTTAGCACACGTCTGAATGCAATCATTTGTTTTCTTGGAGGGATGCGGGCTTCTGTCATGGCAAAAACAAGTGAAACAAAAACAGTCTAACTTAATTATTACGGTAGTTTTGTTTTATGTAATACAATAATGTCAAGCAGCAAACAACTAAATACAGTGAAAATGACAACATATGCCTGCTTAAATTATATATAAAAAACAACCTGGGTTAAAATCTCAAAGCGCAAAGCTGCACTTTTGGTTGCTGATTTAGCTACTTCTGCTGTCCTGATCTGACTGCAGCCTTTGATATCAAACATAACATTCTTCTTTCACATCCTAACTTGAGCATTATGGTGCGTTCACACCGAACGCGATTTCAGCGTCAAAATCGCAGCCAACGCTGAAGTTTGAAGCTCGTGCACTTTGAGGTCAGACGCAGGACAGTTGTTGAAGCGCTGCACGGCGACAGCTGCCCTGCCCCTCCCTCCTCTGTCGGGCTCTGTTTAATGTCGGACGAGGAAGTGGCTTTGCTTTTTTTTACAGACAGCCAGAACGTGTGACGTTCATTAGATAATTAATTCATAATTAATTAACCAGATAATTCAGAGTAGAGGCTCACAGCTGCTTTCAGGACTATTTTTTTCAGTCTGATGAGTCGCTGCCACGCATTGCTGCGGATCAGGACACGACTGCAGCACTCATTTCAGCTAAAGAGCAGGAGCTCTGTCTGTTTCAGGTTAGTGAGTAAACTGTCCCGTCGGGAAATATGTCGCTACGTCACACAGTGGAGTCTCTCTGATTGGTTGACGCTGCGCGTCGAGCTGCAAAAGTTCAGATTTTCTAACTTCAGCGATTTGGACGATTTGGACGATCTGAGCGTTSRACGCTCAGATCGTCCAAATCGTYCAAATCGCGCTGCTCTAATCGCGCTTGAGGCGCCGCAGAACTTCCCGACGTTGCTTGAGGCGCGTCCACCATAGACTTTGCATGTAAACCTGCTGCTCCTGACGCTGAAATCGCGTTCGGTGTGAACGCACCATTAGTCCTTGAAAGGTTTCTGTTGTAAGGCCCAGATAGAAAGTTGGAAAACTGTGTCCCCACTTAATAATGGAGTACCACAGAGCTCCATCTTAAGCCCTACTCTCTCTACCTTACAGATGACTGTTATGAAAATATGATAATGTGTGTGCATGTTAAATTGTTTGTTTTTTGTAAAATATCTCAAACTACAGGATGGATTCTAATAAAACACTCAAATGTGCAAACAATCTTTGTTCAAAACTTTGGCAGGCGATAAGCTTTAATTCAAGGAACGCTAGTTTCATTACTTAAGATGTTTTAATTCTTAAACGTACTTCAAATATACATATTTTTTATTGAGATCCTTTAAATATTTTTAGAATAAATGTGCAATGATCTTGTCTATATTACTGATTTTTACTGTGATTTTAGAAGGTTTGAGTTATCAGCAAGTCTATTAGGCTAATGAGCGCCTCACACCAAACAACAAACACAAACCAAATGTTTTAATATCAGAGTTGCAGGAACAGATGTCTGACAGTCAAGTCGTTAGGAAAGGGAACTTCCTTATTTACCATGACATTTCCGGGGACGAGACTTGAYTGATACAAAACTCATTGTGACGTGTAAACTCTCGGTCATTTGATTGAACTTTGAGCCACAGAGTGATCTGAGTGAACGGCTCAGCGCTGTAAGGTGGTAACCTTACTTGTTGCAAATAAATGTTCAAGTTTAATAAGTATACTAGTTTCCTGCRTTGATTTAGACTTTCTATTAAATGTTTCTTACAATTATATACTCTTTACTGGATCATTTTTCAGAAAACCATGCATTCCACTGTTTTGCTGATGATGTTTGATTTATTACGATGAACAGTAATGCAATTATTCAGGTCTTGATAAACTGTCTCAGAGATATAAACATAGATGAAGATGAAGCTCCTTAATTGGAACAAAAACAAAGTATTTGGCCTGTTTAATTCCTTATGTTGCTTTTTGCAGTAAATCTTGGTATGACTTGACAGTTTTTAATAGTTTTAATTCAACAACCAGATTAACTTAGCTGTCAAGATGAGCTTATTCTGATAAATGCTCCTTATTAAATTTAACGCTTATAATTCATTGAATAAGTTTGAGAAAGCAGTACCTTAATAATCATATCTTCAGAAAAAGCATCTTTTTAACACAGAAAAGTTCGTAAAACCTAAAAAGAACAGAACAGTTCCCATGAAAACAACAAAATACAACCTACGGTCATCCAGCTGAGTCTGCTCGCAGCAACCACTGCGTGAACACAGTCCTGGTGTTTCGACGACGCATTAAAAGGTCACGGCCTAYTTCACCCTCAGCAGCGAGAAGAAGAACTGGAGCATTCCTAAATTCTGTCTGAGCCTTTTCTTTCAGAAATCTGATCCAATGTCTGGCCTTAACTGAGAGTAACAGCAAACAATTCACTTCAGTTCATCTGGAAGCAGACTTCTACTGGACATCAGGGCCAACAACAAAACTAGTACTTCATTGGACAACCCGAAACACGTTCTGTTCATGCGGCAAGACTWGACGTTGCCAACAACTGAAGAGAAGGAAATTTATTTTTAAAAAACAAAATTAGGTCAAGTATACACCGAGATATAGGATGGATGTAGGAGTGTTGCAGCAGACTTAAACCCTTTCGTTTATGCCTTTTAAACACTGCAGCCCTTAAATTTCCTGAGGGGCTGCAAGTGAGGATGCAAATACCAGACTCTAGACTTTTTTATTTTGCACTTTACCCAGACATCGGCACAGCTGGAAGTCAGAAAAATGTCAGAATGAAACAATGTGTGAACTCAGCAGGTAACTCCCCTAGGAGTTCACAGTCAGCTGCTTCATACACATCTTCCACAGGTTCCTGTTAACTTCCACCTCTTTGTTTCCAAGCAGAGTGCATTGMGGAGACACAAACTAATGATGCCTTTATGTCTGAACTCCTATCCATGCATTTACATGAACACTTTTTCTTTAAGTGTTGATTGAAGCTACAAAGACCAGAGGCAGCTCAGGTTCACTCAAGTCTTGAGTATAAGAAAGAGTCCACCTCGCTCCATACAGACTGTAGATGGGTGTTCACCTGCAGAGACAGCTCAGGTACTTACGCCTACTCTCATAGACAGCCACGGACTTCTCAAATAGGTCATAGGGACCTGSTTTAGCCAAGGCCTTGGAGGTTGAGTCTGGGATAGAGACCCTGGGAAGATGCGGTGTTGGGAAAATGGGAGCGGGAGTGGACAGGCTGGTCTGAGCGGGACTGCCCGGGCCCTGCTGGGACTCCCACTGCTCCAGCACCTGAAAAGCACAGTGGCATCAGGGGTCAGTACTTTGGCTTTCCGCCCCCCCATCCAAGCCYGACGCCCGACGTTATGGTGAAGAGAGCGGAAACATGAAGCACAGTTTGCTCTGGAGAGATTCAGGAACCTCCACAGCCTCGAAGACGTCAGACTTGTCAAGCTTTGAACACTCACACAGCAATGGGTTTTAGAATCAAAGCAGCAGATTTATCACTCAGCTACAAGTCAATGTCATCACTAGGAGATGATCCATGTAGCAGCTTTTTACAGTTATAGTCCTCTATAACGCATTATTACTTACAAAACAGTAGTTTTTAATCCTTTGYTTTAAAACTGAGATGTCTTGACTCCTGTGGAAAACTATGAGCTGTCAGTGGTTGATGTTTGGATTCAATGAAAACCCACATCAATCACTGACAACTTATAGTTGCTTCTACCCTAACATATGACTGCATCAAGGAGAATTACACAATATTCAGCTTTAATATATGAGACAAACTGGTGTAAGGAGAAATACTAATCAAAGAGTTGGTGAAAAACAGTAAWGTTAAAACTATGGTGTGGTATTAGGGCCAAAATTAAGACTATTTCCCAACTTATGTTCTTGTAGCAGGAGGCTTTATATCCATATCAAGCTAATTAAGCCAGCTGATTAATCATAGGTCTGGAACTGAGAGGCCGGTGCTGGCAAATGAGAAGAAGACTATTAATATGAGTTAGCACTGGAGAGGCTAATGACTAGCATGCCTAGGCTGGTCAGTCTTAATTAAAAAAAATTAATAATAAAACTATCAAGAAAGTACAATGGAGTATTAAGGTTAAACTTAGGGTGTGTCCAAATTCAGGGGCTGCATCCTTCAAAGGATCCGGCCAACCTGCTCTATGTGGGCTGGGTTCATTGTCAACCGCAAGACTGGAAAAAAGTGACAGTAAATTTGGACGATCAGCATATGTCCAGGCGCCTAACAACTGGTGCTTCTCAGAAGCAAAAGAGACTGAAAATGGATCAAAATGAGCAAAATATTATTAATATTATAAATTAACAAAATAAGTTRAGATAAGATAAAGACTTAAGGGACAGTCTTTGATGCATCGCTGTGACGTAATCGGCCTTCGAAGGGTACAGCCCCTAAATTTTAACACAGTCTGATAAATTAATTTTTTTATTACAAGTATAAAGTCATGATATGGGAACGGATATATCTTTCCACTGCGTTAAAATGTGGAATGTTGAGAATCTTGTGAAGTTATAATTTTGGTTTTACAAAGAGAGAAATACTTCTTTTACTACATCAGCATCAAAGTATTATCAGGACTTTGAAACGATGGAAATGAAAAAAGTGGAAATGAGTTTCTGGTAATGTTATGACTGTTGACTAAACGCACTGATTACAGTTGTACAGGCTGATTTCAAGTTTCTTTTTTAAAGCGCTGACCTGTCAATTCTGATTTCTTAGCCAATTCTAGTTTCTCTTTTAGGACTATAATCACCAGTATACATTCCCCCCCACATACAGTTAGAATTAAAAATTTGACCGTTTTTTTTAAATAAAAAATTCAAAATTTCTCCCCTAAAAAGCATCAAGTTACTGGGATTACTTTCTCACTTAAATCTAATAACTAAACTTTCAAGGTTACTGGTAAAAAGTGGTTAGCACTAGGACTTTGAGAACATTTTTTTTTACATAAAGGTTGGGTGCTGCTTTAGATCGAGGCTCAAGTTGGAGCAGATAAAGTTTATAATAACCAGAGTGCAGCTTCAAAAAGCAGTGAGATCCAAAGCTTGACCAGTCTGCTGTGAACACTTCCTGTTTCTTAATGATTGGGTTATTGCTGTTAGAAGAGCAGAGCTTAGACAATTATTCATTCAAGCAAATAAGTTAGTAAAATTAGAAGTTATAATGAGGAGAAATATGGAGGTCAGGGYCAGTGTACTTTCAGGTAATTCAGCTTTTCATTTGAAACAAAAAAATRAAAAAAAKKTTTTTCTTTCATTTTTTTGCTTCCTGAACCATAATGAAAATTCAGATACTGGATTATTGTTTGACTTCCGATTTTGTGCACTAATCAAAAATGTATAACAAGTATTATGTGTCTATATGAAATGCCTAACGCGTCCAAAACCACTTCAGATCTGGTGATGAGGTTAGGGTTAGTACACAAAGTCAGAAATAAAATATTGGGTCGTTAAGCGAAATTCCATTTTGCTTCACTAAACTAAAAACAAACAAAAAGTGTTCTCATTCTTTTTGTTTCAAATGAAACTGACCAKTCAGGTGTGTTCTGAGGTGGCGATTAAAACACGTATTTGAAATGCTCAGAATTGTTTGTAGCGACGGCGACAGTTTCGACAACCCCGGTCAGTTGGTGTCGAGCCGCGATTCGTCAGACAAGCCGGTCCACGTGAGTCACGGCACAAACACAAAGCAAGAGATGACGCTTTGACAAGTGTCAGGGAGCAATCCAGCAGCCAGCTTTCCAAAAGGGAAACGTTGAAACTTGGCTGCATACATGCTGACTACAGGATCTGATTCAAGGCGCACTGAGAATAAAAATATAAGCTTCAGGAAAAGCGTATGGTATAAGCATCTCCATGCTTTGTGCTCTCGGATCCGTCCGCCACTGATGTGAAGCATCCTGATTTCTCTTGTGCAACGCTGCTTTGTGCTTCTGCGGACCGTCGGTCACGATGAARGCATTGCCGTTTTGAGACGGCATCAATCATACGAACACCTTTCATGCCACGCTGAGTAGCTGTTCCTTAAACGACTGGCTGGATGGAGCTGCAGACCGAGACTCTGTGTTCGGTGATTCCCTGCTCTTACAGTTAGTCGAATGACTCCATTTTTCATCCTCGGAGCTGCGGAAAGCCATYCGGTAATAAACGACACCTAATTAAACTGAGACTGAACTCCGGTGTGTGTGTGTGGGGTAGGGATCGAGGAAAGGAGATGAGGAGACGAAACGAGACTGGGTGAAGTTTGAATCATTGTTTTCTTTTTGATGGATGTAAGGGTTTGGTTGTGTGGAAGTGAAAATCCAGAAAAGACAAACAATGAAGAGATTTGATACTGTTTTGTCGTTACTTCGGCTCTGGAATGGAGGGGCTTAAATGATCCGGGTTCGGGGACTGGTTAGAGCTGGGCTGGCAGGACGCCCAGGCATGAAATGGAGCACACACACACACACACACACTTGCTCCCGGTGAGACAAAGAAGGATGGTCTGGAGCAGCTGTGTGGAGGCATGTGAGCGGAACAAACACATCTGAAGGGCAGAAGTGCATCTGATCTAAGAGGGTGTCATGTTGACGTTAGGAACAGAAAACAATCCTAAAGCAGGAGAAAGATCTAAAGCGACACRAAGGATTGAGCTTTAATGTGCGTTAAAATGAAATCCGGATAAGACAAAAGACAAAGACACGAAGGAATTATATAAAAAGTACAGAAGAGCTTTTAAAGAGCGAAACCCAGAAATGTTATGAAATGAAGATAAATGAAAGATAAAAACCTGGGTCGAGCCAAAGCAGACTGATCACAGATGGGTAAGCAGCACTAGAGCTGTAATAGAATAATGGAGATTCCCCTAATGGCGCTGAGTCAGGCTGTGAATCAAMGTGTTTTAATGCTCTATGAGAAACACTTAGACTTGGTGCTTCAGTCACATTACAGGAAGTCTGAGTTTTCAAAAAGCAGCAGACACAAAGTTGGTCAACAATAGAGTTAGTGTGGCAACAAGAACGTTCTCTTTGTGCAATTTGACAAATGAGTTAGAGTCACACACAGTTTTCACACAGCAGCCAGGAGATTAAAGTTCAAAATTTCACAGCAGAAATGGGGATAATCCTGGTTTCTGAGGCTGATGAGTGTTACCTGCTTTGGAGTCTTCCAGGGTGAATAGTGACCTGTAACGTTGAGAAAACAAAAAACATGCTTTAGGCTGAAAAAATGAATTAAAAGTAAATAAAAATTTAAATATTATATGATGATAATGTGACCAATTATGGCAAACAAAGATGAATGAGAAACACTGAGAGAGAGACTTGTAAAATAATAAAAGAAAACGCATAATAATGAAATGATAGCTTTGCTATTGTACAACAACACACACTGGGKTGGATATGACTCAAAGTGTGACTGTCTGCTGATTGGACGGTCTCAGACCCAAATGTATCCCAAACTCTAAGAAGTTTCCAAACTGTGTATCTATGCATGAATGAGCCTTAAGTAGTCAATATATTGAGCAAAAAAGTGTTTAATATAAGGATTTATAAGTATATATGCAGTCCATTTCCCATACCTTTATGCCTAACATGACTCCAAAGTAWTTGGAGGAAAATTTAACTCAGAAAATTGTTTCTTCGGCTGGAATTTGTTGTTTCGTAATTGAGTTATACATCATTTTTATTGAGATGTAWTTTGCTTCCGTACATTTTTTGGCACATAATTCCATCACAAATTTCAACCATTCAGGACTTTCATGCCATGACTTTTTGTTTTTGTGCAATTTTTTTTTAATTTATTTATTTTGATATTTTGCTTTTTCAGCCAAGTTTTTCTGATTGGAAATAAAAGGATTTTACAATAAAAACCACCAAAACTTTTGTGCTGTTTACAACCTTTTACCACTCATAATTTCAGCTTTTTTTCCTGTCTTTTCAGGTACTGCTTAACCATTTTTCCTGCTAATTTCAACCTTAAAAGTTTATTATTATTATTATTATTTTTACAAATGTCACCTTTGTGTTTATTTCAGCTATTTTATGCT